CCAAAAACACTGTTCACCTCTTTCCCCACCTTTTGTAATGTGGGAGGCTGTACCGTTTGTTTGGAAGCAGCGGGCTGGTGAATACAGTGAAAGTCCAGGGGCCGGACACTCCAGTGAGATGCTTGGAGGGCTCGAGGATTGGAGTATGCTTATCACTAACCTAGAGGGGACAGCAGGGCCTGTGTAGGCTTAGAGGGGAGTGCTTATGTTGCCCATGGCTGGTGGAGTTAGGGAACTGACCTTGGTTGGCACAGACAAGGTGTGACTTATGTACCTGGCCCTTTGTGGCCCCCTGCTGGAGGCCCTGCAGTCCTACCTCAACCCACCCCAGGAAAGGAGCAGCGAAGGTGGGTCCTCCAGACCTGCCTAGAAAGGCTGCAGAGAACCAGCCAATCAGATCCCACTACGCTCAGATAAAAGTGGCTGTAGGGCCTTAGCAGTTCATTTCCTGGCTGGGACCAGGGAGGTGGAGAAGGGTTCCTCTCTGTCCACAGGTACCTGCCTGGCTACATTTACTTAAGCTGGGAGAAGGGGGACCTGTGAACTTTAACCCTAAAGATAAGGGGTGAAGCTAAAGGGGCCAGCTGGGAAGAGGCCCAAGGAAGTAGCAGCAACTAGCTGAAGGGAGCAGTACATGGGTGCTGTTTATAGAGTCCCTCGGTTGAAGCCCAGAGTAATGGGTGGACCTGAGTTCCCCCAATGGTGAAGTGGTCGAAGCTCTGAGAAGGGGACAAGGCTCCTTTAGAAGCCCAAGCAAAGGCTAGATTGAAATGGCCCAGAGATGGGCCTGAAGACCCTGGTGGGGGCAGATAGTTTTGTCAGACTTTCCCTACCCTAGACAGGGTTTATTCTGACTGTGTGACTTGGCGTGGGCTGAGCCAAGCAAGGTCGACAACCTACAGGGGGTATCAGGGGCAGGAAAAGGCCAGTAGTACCAGATGCAACAGCAGCAAGTGCTCAAGAAATGAGTGTCCCCTGTTAAGCCAGGCTTTCTTATGCTAAGGGCAGGTGGTAGCAGGGTGCCTCACAACCCTGGGTACCCCTCGGAAGTGTCACACCAACCTTAGGCTTTGCTATATATCCTCAGTCTTGAGCCAAGCGACTCAATGGCTATGTATGGAGGAAGGAATTGTAGCTCCACTACCGCTAGAATCAGTCCTAAACTCAGACTATTCCCACTTCCCTAAGGAGAAATAGGTCACAATTTTGGCTGATAGCAAAGCCTGGGATCTGGTTGCTTGTACATTTGAATGTCATCTCTTATTACATTCAGAGACTTCAATTTAGGATAATTCCAGAATTGTAATTGCACATAGACCAATTCTATGGCACAAGTGGGTTTAAAAGAGGATTTTGAGAATAAATCACAAAATTGAAAATGATTCCTTCATGCCCTTTTCTTAAAAAAAATAATAATAATTATTAATGGAGATATCCTATCTCCTAGAACTGGAAGTGACCTTGAAAGGTCATCAAGTCCAGCCCCCTGTCTTCACTAGCAGGACCAAGTACTGATTTTGCCCCAGATCCCTAAGTGGCCCCCTCAAGGATTGAACTCACAACCCTGAGTTTAGCAGGCCCCACTGAGCTATCCCTCCCCACTTTCTTGCCTTTAGAGAGAAATTCCAACTGGACCAGAAAAGGTAATACCTTCAACTTTAAACATGCTCTGTAACACCATTTGTGGATGTCTGCCTTGGCAGCACCAGATCCCCCTGACCTCTGGGGCTTTCTGAAAACGTCACACTGTCTACCTAAGCCATTGTCTAGTCTGTATTCTTCCCTACCGGGCAAACTGGCAATCCATTAGAGACCATGTTAGAAAGAAATGGGAACATTCTTTCTCAGTTTCCCTTATCAACATTCAGTGAAATTGGATTTGTTGCAACATACAGCATTTCTCGCTAGATTTGGGGTTAAGATTGATCCAGCAGGAAATTCTTTAGAGGATGCACTGGACTCCATATAGACTTTTCAGGTTCAGAGCAGCCAGGTCTGACAAATGCTGGTGCTGCAATGTAGTTAGTGCTAATTTATACTATATGGTTTGGGGTTGCCCTGTCATCTGTCATTTCTGGACAGAGGTAAATATTTGGGCCAACTTCTTTCTGTCCACCAAGGAGAAATTACAGGCTGGTCACATCATTTTAGGCCTATCCAGTTCATCTTGGGGACTGAAATCCTTTGAAAAATTATGATTGGTAGAGCTCTGATCATAGCCAAATGTCTAATTCTACAATAGTAAAAGTCCCAAGTGTGCCAGACTATTTGAGTGGTTCTCTGACTTGGTGAGCCTGGCAGCGATGGAACAAATAGTGTTTTGCAACAGAAACCACCAGAATAAATGTATAGATATATGGTCCCCATTTTTGGAATCCTAAGAATATTCAGTTAAATTCATCTCTGACTTATTTATCTCTTATCCTCTTTTACTTATTGTTTGGGCTGTTCTCTGGTCCTTTTTTTATTCTCAATGCTCCTTTTTCTCTTCTACTTATCTGTTTTTCCAAAAGGGAATAACCTGGAAGCTTCTTTATGATCTTACTTTATAAAGAACCCCAAACTGGGACTGTCCTATTCCTTTCCCTTAATAATGAAGAAGTTGGGTCTTGTCTACCTTGCTGTAAAACCTGATATTGGCTCTCGACTCCAGGTTAAATACCTTTCTTTTCTTTGTTAGTTGTGTTAAAATAAACAATAATGAATAAATGCTTTTTTCTTAAAGAAATAGGGCAGAGTTGTAAAACGCTTAGCTGTGAAGAGGAGCAGCTTAAAGTGGATGTAGTGAAAAAGGGAATCCACTGAAGGGATTCAATGAGGGGGTGACATTCAGGGGCAAGGAAAGTGTACATTAAAACTAGAAATTAAAAATTAAATATGTCATATGCTTCACTGTACCATTTTATTTCTACACCTGTCTTCTTCTGTTCTGAGCCCAGAATCTTTACTGTTCTGTTCTAGTTTCTCCAACCACTGGTCAAGATTGTGGAGAGAGAATTGAGATGAGATACAGATGATGATCCAGAATTACCTTTTATATCATTAGCTTGTAGTTACCTTTTGGCTCTAATTTTACCTTGAAGTTTCATCTGAAACTACAAGTGAGACCTTGTAGTGCCACATCTTCAACCGGCTGTCAGAGGCATGGCACACCAACATTTTGGTCTTCCTCTGAGCTATC